AGACTGTTCCATTCTTGCTGCAACATCTTCCACAATCTCAGGAGTTCTTTTTTTGGGCGCTCCGCTACCGGTTTTTCGTCCAACAGTCCCAACAAAACGAAATTTTGCGACACATAAATAAATTTGATGGACCAATTTTTGATAATCCATAGGAAAATTGGGGAAAGCATTTTGAAAATCATTAAGGCAATGATCTACAGAATACATCCATTCACCATTCTGTTGCCGTTCGGCGTGTTTCAAATAACTCTCAGTAAGAAAAATTTTATGCTCTAATTGAAACATTTTGAAATGCCACTTTGACAATTCAAATTTCAAATCAAAGTGTCAACATTAGTAGTGCCAACCTGATTCAAAATCCACAGCTTGCTCTAATTTATTATTTAAATGATCGCACGGTATTTTGTAGCATTTTTGTCACGTCCATTCTTATACAGGGTGTTAAAATAAGATTGTAAAACATTTTAGGAGGTTATAATATGAACAAAAACAAACAAAAAAGTCCTAATAGACATGGGTCCTCAAACTAACGGTTTCGGAGATATCAAAAATGATTCGTTTTTTGAAACATTTATTTGCAATCTGTTAAAACAAAAAAAATTCTAAAAATTTTCACATTCGATATCTCCGAAACCGTTATCTTGCGGACTCATACTATTACCTCCTTAAATATTTTACAATCTTATATACTTCGTATATACGCGTAAGCTACGCCACTGAAACTAAACCATCCCTTAAATTTGAAAGTGGACTCGGGTGAACGTAAATTTATACAGTATGTCCCCGGATTACGTTTACAACAGGAAAAAAAAAATATTAGAACGAAAAAATCCGTGCTTAAAACTTCATTATTCTAATTCAGTGAAAAGAAAAGTTAATTTTTTTCTTTTCTTCGACTTGCGGTGCGGTTTTATTTATTTGACAACTATAGCACAAATAAACATTTCTTTCTACTGAGTTAGAATAATAAAGTTTTAATTACAGATTTGCTCGTTTCAGGTGAAGCAAAAAATGTTGTTTTTCTTTGCAGTTTTGGAGTAAAATCAAAGATTTTTTTTTCCTCTCGTAAACTAAATCCAGGGACATTCTGTAGATGTGCGCTGTTCTTGCTTTGAGAGGACTCTACTATGTTTTATTTTTTATTTTTCCTGAACTTAATCATACATAATGAAAGATGAATGTGTTTCTAGGAGCATTAAAAAAATTGCGCATTTATTTGCTATTTCCAATTAGAAAACAGCAACGATTAGTGTATTTTAGGTAGCACTTGTAACAGAAATAACTATTTTCGGACATTGAAGTGATAATTTGCAATATTCTAGAAATAAATCGGATGATGTAACTGTGCGATTCTGATGGAAAATATAATTTTGTGTACACTGTAATATTGATGATGCTAGAAGGATTTTCGTTTGGATTTATTTTTATCGGAGAGACTATTTTATAAAATTTATTTCGTTTTATGTTAGCGACGTACAAAATCCTCAGAAGGGGATTACCTACAGTAACATTTTTTTTTGGACGTAATGGCAAAAGCAAGCTTTTAGTTACAACATTTTTGATAATATAAGGTATTAATAAAGAATGATACTATATTCTGTCGTTCTTGCGGGTAGAAAGGGTATTACAAAAATGAATTACCATTGAGGATGTGCACTCGAACACTGGCGGTGTTAGCGTTGGACGGTGTACACGTGTAGAGTCCAGAATCACTCTGTACGGCCTTCTGGATAAGTAGTCGGCTTGTTGTGACTTGTCCCTTTTCAGTGACAAGGCTAATACCACCCCTGGGAGAGTCAAAGTTGATAACTTGAGCATTGTGTGCCCATAACATACTGGGTGGGGGCTCTGGAGCGAAACGTACCAAACAAGTTAAGTTTATTGTCGAACCCATGTTGATAAACAAGTCGGGACCTCCCAGAATCTCCGTATTGGGTTCTGAAACAAAAACAGCTAATTAATTTTCTCGCTAAATTTGTTAATGTCGGCAATTTTTTGCACCTTATTGATTGATACAATCAAGTCTATTAAATAAATTGCTTCGATCGAAGAATTCTTCGCCCTTGCGTACAAACAAAAGACTTCATGTGCAATCATACTCTAAAAAACTTGGAATTAAATGAGGCAGAAGTTCAGAGGAGACATGTCGAGATTACCGTTTTTAACGGTTAACGTCTTTAGCATCTCAAATTGCGGACATGAGAGAGATACAAAAGTTGGTACATTTATGTTTTGCCAGTTTTAATGATTATGGCAGCAAACTGAAATTGTCTTCGGAAAAATTACGAGAAACCGACTTTTTAACGACACTTTCATACCAGAATTAGCATCTAATTTATTCTTTTATGGCCAAACCAAATCGAGAATGGCGCATGTAATGGAATTGCTTTATTTGAGGGAAAATAGGGAGGAAACACATGTTTACCGACACGAAAGGACAAAGTTAAAAAACATCTAACAAGATTTTACAACCCTTATTTTGCTCTTTTTACATTAGCCAGATTACAGAACCCCAACGAATTGCGAAACAACTTTTTTGTAACATTTATCAAAACTCGCTAATGTTTGAAACATCAAAGGAGAATTTTTCTAACAACTTATTTAGTTGCACTAGGTTTGAAATAAAAGAACCAAATACTAATTGTAGTTTTGCGCAATTTGCAATTTTCTCCAGCAAAATATCCATTTTATGGTTGATATTTTGTGACGGAAATTATTATTTACCATTGATGGCTAGTTGTTGTTTACACCCAGTAACAGTGTCGTCAACATTTCAGAGATGGCTAAACTGGCCTATTTTACGTCTTTATTGAATTTATTTTGCAAAACAAAATCCGTTGCTTTCAATTAAAAACCGTATTTTAGATCATGAAATATGAATTTTTTCACAAAATGTTTTTCAGTTGCTTTAAAATGTTCAAGACTTCAAACACCAAAAAACCCGGCCTGAGGCTATTCCGAACCATTGGGAAAAATCCAAATAAGTTAAACGTGAATGGAGAAATCACTCGAGGCCCTTTTAAACGAATTATATGTTTTTTTTTGAGGGCGTGCCGAATTCAGTCGGTTTGTAGTGGCATATGCCGAAGATTGTCACGTCTGAGATCACAGTTTGACCAAGTCATTATACGGCGTGGTCGCTTTAATGCGATAACCTCTAGCTGTCGTCTTAACCGCGTTGAATTAATGAGACCTTCTGCTCTTTCGCATGCGGAGAGCGCCCTCGGAGGGCTCCTGGCTCAGCCCGATTCGTTACGGAGTCTTGATGACGGTACAGAGGGCGCGACCTGAATACACAATAATAGAGCATGTCTATCTATGCCCTTTGAGGCGATTTTTTCCGAAGGGATAATGCAGATGGCCAGTCAGCGTTTAAACAGACTAATGAAGGTTGTTTGTCAAAAACGACGCCTTCATTACGCGGAGACACCTCGCCAGTTATTTGATCTTTTATTCATACTTTATTCCAGATACGTACGAGCTAGAAAGCGCTTTTACGTTTCAAGGAAAATGCGTTACACTTTTATTACCATCTAATAAAGATCTCTTGTGGAATGAAAGTAAAACTTAAACATTTGAACTCGACAAAGCTGATTTGAATTTTATGCCTTTTTTAAAGTGCCTATATTTTATTTATGGATCTCTAAGTTGTACTCGAGTGCTTAAAATCTTCTTCATTTTGCATGCACTGATGCATGTACCACACTTCTGAGCGACACTTCAAACTTGAATAAAACATTTCACTTGAAAACTTCTTAAGTAAAATGTAAACTAGACGAGAATTATCCGGATTTAAATTGTTTTACTAAACTTTATGGCGTTTTACAACACGAGACATTTTTTGCGCTTTCAAAAGGGAAAGTTTAGGATTCTCCGAAATCCTTTACAATTTCTTTAAAGCATATTATTGACTTTTTTCCACATTTTCTCGCCTCACTTTATCCACGAAACGAAGATTTATATCGTTTTTTTCCCAAACTCTATTACGAAATAAATGTGAGAGAAATATTTCCATTTACTTGAACTTGTTTATATAAAAACTAATACGTATATTTAATTGGATTAAATCCTCGTTTTATTATTCCTCTAATCTTTCTTTTATTGCCGAAGTATAATAAAACCTTTCCTTTCAAAAATTTTGAATTGGCTCTAAATTTTACAAAGCTCACGCCCCATAGTTTCAAAAGATATGAGCCATAATGGGAAAAAAAGCTTTTCAATATAATAAGAAACGCTTAAAGGCACGTCTTCTTTTTTATGTAAATGTACATAAAATAATATTCTTAAATGAAACACAAAGAAGTACCAATTTTGATGTTTTCTGCTGTATTTGTCTTTGTTCGGATCTCATACACGAATGATAAATTAAACCCGTAATTTAATATTTGTCTTTAAAACACGAGCCCGGCGCATCCACCATTTTTGATTTTATCTAGATTGGTAATAAATAAATTAGTTTTAGTTGTTAGACATTGTTGTAATCGATTAGATTTTTATCAACAGTGTTTCACTGTTGTTCCTTTTCATAAATATTTACACAATACCTTTCTAAATAATAGATTTGCTAGAATAATACATTATTTATGAATTAATATGTGCTCCCAAACTTTGAGTATCAGTAGTTTGGATTTGTGTTGTTGAATTGCAGATTTAATGTATATCAACTGTTTACATAATTTCAGGAAACTTTTTCTAAAACCTGAAAAAGTAAATTGCTGTTGCAAAACGTTTGTTTAAAATTAATATCTTGGAACATCTCGTAATTGTAATAACAAGCCTAATCTGTTCTCGTAAGAAATTTAATTACCATCAGATTCTTTCAAAGTTTTTCAAAACATTAGAAGCGCAATTTATAGAACTAGTTAGTCAGATGTTTATTAAAGTTTTCAATCTTCCTAATTTTGTCTAACTTTTAATTGTACATTAAAACTTTTACGATGTAACTTTTAATTTAAACCGCTGCTAAATTCTTGTAAAGGTTCTCTTCTACTTCTTTTAATTAGATTACATAAATTAATATTTCGCTGTTTGAGGCAGTTTCTTGTTTATTTTTTTAATCTCAAACGCTAAATTTTATAATTCTTTCACTTACCGACAATGGTGAGGTGAACTGGATGGCCTATTGGCGGTGTTGTGCTTATTTGACATTCGTATATTCCACTATCTTTACGTTGAGGATACCGAATTCTTAAAGTCCATTCTTCCGTATGGGGAGTATGAATCGCCTCAAATCTTTGATCGGAGGTGTAGGTGTATCGCCCCACTGTCAGCAGGTGGATGTCTCGGTGGCGTACCCAAGAAACCTAAAAAAATTAAAAAAGTTTTTCAAAAAAATATTTTACTTTTGTAGACAGTCAAAATGAATTTTAAAAAATTGAGTAAACCAATTTTTATTTAGAATAGCAGATAATATTTGATACATTATTGCTAATGGGCTTATGTTTATTTTGTTGGCTTTATATACATTTTGCTTTCGATAAAAAGAATGAGATATTTTGAAAGACAATGATAATCTCAAAACGTATATCGAAGAAGAAAAATAAAGCTTTTCCGTTGTGTTTTCAGGTGGAAATTCAAGAAATAACACAGATAAATCAGCCTGAAGTTTTTGCCGTCGCGGCAAAAATAATTTGTTTTTATTCGGGCTAACTTCATAGCCACGTAATGGATTCTAGAACACAGAAGAAAAATTAGTTAATTTATTTCGTTTTTCCGGAAAATATCACAAATGAAGTCGGTTTGAGTCATATCAATCAATTGCTAAAGGAAAGGCAAAAAGTTTCCTAATCCATTAATAATGCAAAAAGCTTATAAAAGAACCAATTCTTGATTCAAATTAAGAAAGTTTGACGAAGGAGCTACACGTTTTGTGATTCACCAAAAGTTTGTTTTACGTGTAGATTTTGTGCTATAAATAAATAATATTTAGGGGTAAACCGTTCCCAGGAATAAAACATGCTCGGTCTAAATTCTAATCTCAAAACTTGTTTCGGGAAAAAGGAAAAGCAACACTTGCAAACTTACATACGGAAATTTCACACTAAATTTTCTCGAAGCGTGTTTAACCGAGAAAGTTCTTCTATAAGCAGACTTTAATTAAAAATTTTCAAAAACGACTAGTTTATTGAGAACACATTATGCAATTATCCGGCTTTAGATAATCTAGAATTGTCCACAACTCGTTATGAATTCTCTCAGGGTATCGACTTTATGAACTTTGTAATGAGTTTCACAAAGTGGTCAGAGCTCCAAAGGCTGTAGTTTAACAAATACTGGAAATTACTGGCAACAATAGAGTATTTTTCTTGCAACTTTGTCAGGTCGATTTTGCTATCATCTCCCTGATTACATTTGACGACACTTTTACGACTTATCAGCATTGCAGAGCATGTGTTTTATGACCCAATCAAGACAAATTTAATCCAAACATAACTCTTGTATCTTTTGTTAGAAAATATCTTTCATATCAATAATCCGTATCAAATTTTTTGCCATGATGCCCCCCAATTCCAAAACACATGTCGAAATCGAAGCAATATATTGTCGCCAACAGCTTGGCTTTATGAGGAGAGCAGTTGAGGTAATAAAAGTTTATAGATAGGCAATGCGTAGAGAGAACATCTCCAAAAGACAAGTCTATTATCCGAGGGGATTTGGCTGTGTTTGACACGATGTTAACGTTTTTGGACTAGGTAATGACGCCCTATGATAGGATTTGACTGTTTATAGACACATTTATAATAATTAAGCCCCGACAGGAACGTTAGTACCTCCCAGGTTGTTGTTATCTTTCTGTTTACTGTCCTAATAGAGAGGGTCATCAAATGTGACGCTTTACTGTTCAGTAATTAATTTACGAGCGGTTAAATTAATCAAAAGTAGGAAAAAAATTTTTTTTTCATTAAAGGATTTTTATTTGGAAATGCTGAAACAAATTTATGTCAAAATGTAAATAATTCACGTGGAAATATAATGTTATTTCGGTCACAAGCGACTTTTTGGGAAATAATATTTCGTGAGTTTCCTTCCGCTTGCACATATATTTTGCTGAAATTTTCATAATTCGGGTAAAAACCACACGATAACAACAGCATGTGAAAATCTGGATGTTTGTGCGAACATCGATTTTCCTCCTTCATGCGCACTAATTTCCGGCTGTTTTCTCACAGCTTTAATGAAAAATAAAAATTATAATCCTGTTAGCGAATCATGAGGGTAGTTTCAAGGCGAGTCTTAGCCTGTTTTTGAAAATTACGCGCGAATAACTTTCAGTTTAATACAATATCCCATCAAGTGAGGAAAATTAGTTTCATAGAGTTTCAAAAAATTTACATATTGATTGTATATGAGAAAAACTGAAAAGAACACTTGACCGTTAATTTACAAAATTAGTTGGACCACTGAAACTGCGGAAATTATGTTACCAACCAGAACTAATGATATTCTAAAACCCTGCTCAGTCTGCTAGTCATGCTCCAATTATGTGCAATTAACAATATTGCTCTTTGCCATTACCGATACTATTGGTTATAATTACCCAACTTTAGAACTGCTTACTTAAACATGTACCAACCGCAAATAACTTGCCTAAAATTCGAGATGAAAACCATTCAAATGAAGGAAACATTTATTTGCATCTTTTACTGTCCATGATTCTATAAATGGATCGTAAAGTTGTTAACTCAGCAGTCTTTACTCGCATGTGGTTCGTAAAAGCACAATTTTTATAAATTTTATTTTTTTTTCTTTAAGATTGTAGACCAACAACGAGATATTTACGACCAAATAAACCGCGGTTTTATTTATAGCTTCGAGCTTATAAAAGAATTAAAAATAATAATGTCTTTATAAAGTACAGAAAAATAGATTTGCCCGGCGCATCCACCATTTTTACTCAATGTATTTTATTGCTAACCCACATAAAATACTATAATTACAGAGTTTTTGTAAAATTGTTGATTTTTGTGTTGTTCAATAAATCAAAACTTCTTTTTTTTTCTAAATCACCAAACTTTAGTTTTCAACATGACACGTGTTTCGACCATAAGGTAATGGTAATCTTTGTTAATTATCAAAGTACGCAATTATAGTTTTCGGGTAAAAGTATTTTCTTTAATAAAATTACAGCTGCTTAATGTACAAAAAATCAATATTGAATTTTTAAATTACTCCTGACAGTAAAACTTTTTTAATTTTTTTGCATGCAATTTATTTTATTATTATTTTTATTAGTTAATATTGTTTTATGTATGCAAATAAAGCGACAAAAATAATACCAGGTGGATAAAAAGTATGAAATCAAACGTTCGTTGCTTAAACTATTTATTTTTTGAAAAAACTAATTGATGAATGATAAAGTACTATAAAAATTTAATTTTTTTATTAAGAATTTTTTTTTTAATAATTTTTTGTTTTTAAGTTCTACAAAATTTTTTATTTTTTTAAATAGCAACCCACTATAAAACCATTTTTCTCATGAAGGTTATGATTACAATTATCAACTATCAATAATTACAACTATCTACTTTAAATTTAATTAAAAAAAAAATACATAAATTGACAAAAAAAATCGCATAACTGAAAAACAAAACAATTTTTTTTTCTCAAGATGCGATCAGTTTTTTATATTACTTTAATTTTTATTAATTATTATTTCCTGGAAGCAAGTGATTAAAAAAAACTCTTGGTTCCATATTTTGTCTTCACTCTGTGTATGTATTTGGCTAACGGATTCACCATTAGAAAAATATTAAATAAATTAGTTGTATTAGGAGAATATAATATTTCTATTAACTTATTTAATGATGAAGCTCAGTTTTTTTATTGATTGTCATTTGTAATCAAAACAAAACAATATTTTTTTAAAGTGAATATTATACTATTGCATAAAAATTGTTATTATTTATTTATTAATTACTTACTAAAAAAGTTGAGTCTACAATTTACCACTACGCTGTGTAAATTTAAATTACGTTATATAAAATTTCACGATCATAGAAAGCATGAAACTAGTGATTTATTTATTATTAGAATATTAATTATTTTATAAATTACAGCGCTCGCTTTGCTGGAAAACTCAGTGGCTAAATTATAATTAATTGTAAAAATATAGAAATTATTGCTAAATGTTTCTTCGCAAATGTAGTTTTTTTAATTAGAGAAAAAACTTGTACGTTTTGTTACAATGAATGAAGTTGGTTGAGTTTTGGGGTGGCACTCCTGTATTGCCTGCGTATAAATTACGTCGTTCGACGTAATCTTCGCGGAAGTCTGGGTATATTTCATGAATAAATAGCAGCAGCTGAAGACTTCTTGGAGGTGTATAGAGAACGGCGATATTTTAGAGCTCGGTGCTTAAATCCTTTTAGGTGTCTGGAAGCATTGCTAATTTATTTGGTTTATTTGGGAAGCGACTTTTATGATAAGCCCTTGACGTTCGTTAAAGGTTGCGATAAAATGCGCGTTCTATCGTCACAAATTGCACAATGTTATATGTGAGGAGGGAAGTGTTTGCTTAATATTCGTGAGCCACAAGCAACACCTGCCTCCTTTTGTTTAGGGGTCTCAGTTTTATATTCAGGACCGTTCCGGGTGTTTTTACATTTTATGTTCGCTCTTATTAAAATGTAGATTTTCTTCTGAATATGTAATGAGTACACACATGCTCCAATTACAAAGAACAGATTTTAGACAAGTTGACTAACTTTGCGGAATAATTTATTAACTCGCTGGTTATACAAAAGACTCTTAACACTCAACTTCATGGAAAAGTTTGCACTGCTATGAAACGGCAGTAGTTCGCCACAAGTACCCTCCAGATACAAATTATTGCAAATTTAATAAAAAAATTGGAAGAGGAAAACTCGGAGATAAAGTTAAACGAATTGACAGGGTTTAACTTCGTTCACTTAAATGTTTTAAGCTAACTAAACTTTCATTAATTATTATTCTCAACGTGAACATTTTAACGACTTAGTGAAGACGTGACCTAATTGCTTTGGACTCAAATTTTTAAAAGAGGAACGACTAATTGATGATTTTTAGGTGACTTTAACGAGGGATTTTCTTGAACATCGCGGGATAACCGCATCCAGGAAAACAAAGTAATAAACAGAAAGTTCATGTAAAGTTTAATGTAGGGCTTTAAATCAGACTTTCGCCATAAATTTTAGCAATAAAAGCTTTTTTCACCTTATATTAAAGCGATTTCTCTTAAACCATTAAGTTTATAGTGGCGGTTAGTGCAACATAAAAGTTAAGCCAATTGAAATATTTCAAAGTGGAGTAGTTTTCTTCAAATTTT